TGATTGCAATCAGGACAGAAGGGCCAAGAAGTCTGCTAAGTAGAACAGTCCCCAACCCTTGTACGGCTTTACTGATCAAAACCAATAACTTAAATTTAACATGGCCATATGGGACCATGGGAAATCTGGGAAACTGCACAACCCTTGCTGCTGCAGCTGCTGATTAGCCTGGCCTGGCTGGAGTCACAGTCCTAGGGCAGAGCCCAGAGCCTGAACCTTCCCCCCAAATACAGGTCCCCACTAGCAGCCGGGTGGGCAGGAGGGGAGGGAACCCCACTCCAATCAGGGCAGGGGTCTGAGGCGCGCGCGCACGCACACACACACACACACACACACACACAAGCAGCCCATGCTTACAGCAGTGCCCTCCCCCACCCCAGCCAATCCCCACCAATCTGGGACTTTTGCTACAATTTTCAATCTGGGACTTTTGCTACAACTGGCTGAGGCACCAGGACAGCCTACAAAATCCGTGACTGCTCCAACCTAACCGAGACGTGTGGTCACTCTGCTTTATTTCAGCCCAGAAGCTAACAGGGAGCCAGTGCAAGCCCCTGTGACCTGTTTTGCCAGGGACCAGCACTGCTTAGTAGTTGACTTGTGTCTTCTGTGCCAGCATAAGTTTGCATGCTGATCCATGATATTGCCCCTTGTGAAACATATGGCAATAACCCAGTTTGAAGAAGCAACTACTAACAAGGCAGCTAGACTTAAAACTTTCTGAGCTCAAAACTAAGTCTCAGCTCCCCACTTGCAGGAGGAGCTTAAACACCGGCTGAAATGTAGGTTAAACACAAGCCATGTACAGGTGTTATATTTCTACCAGGAGAATCACCACTGTCCTGGAAGAAACTGCCAATGTACAGGAGTGTATCGAGTTTCTGGATGAAACGTGTCCCATCTGGGAGAAAGATCTTTCAGGTTAATACCTATAAAATCTCCCCTACAAGAGAGTTTCTCTCTCTAAAATGCAATCAGTATCATAGTAGAGATGATATCTTTTATTAGACCAACAAGATTTTTGCAAAAAATAAATCTTCAATTGCAAGCTTTCAGGCACAAACACCCTTTATCAGGCATCTCTCTTAAAGGAGCACCTACTCCTTCATGATAGGGAGGAATCAACAGCACCTTCCCCTGTGCCTTCCCCAGACAGGGGGACTCTGATCACAAATGCATTTCCCTGCCTATGCGCTTCCTCCCCTGAAATATTTCTAGTGCAGGAAATCTCCCAGAAATTCCCAGTGCTAAAACAAACACCTGTTCATACCCACAGGATGAGAAATAGATTTAAAATAAGGAGGAGGGGAAAAAACGGGGAGCAGTAGCAAAATAGATGTGAAGGAAGCAGCAATCGCATGCAGCATAAAACCCATTTATCAAATGTCATATTTCATTATTACTTTTAAGTCTCTGAAAAGCCACAGCCTCTTATTTTCTGAAATGACAAGTTATTTTTGTTTGGTGACAATAAAGCAGATAAGGTCACTGTCTGGTTTAAATCTCACAGCATGACAATCTCCAGACATCAAATTAGCATTGCCAAGTTGAAACGGTCGCATACAATACATCCACTTCTCCACCACAGCTCAGTTAAATGCGTGAGGGACTCTGGGAACACTTTTAAATGTAACACGATGGAGCATAAAGCCACCCAAATGCTGCTGGAACCGGTGCGTGGCTGGTCAAGTGTTGAACTACGCTAGGCTTGGGGTTGTTTGGGAGACTGCGAAGGGAATCTCAGAGTGCTGCAATAGGTAGGATGAAGGAGGCTTAAGTCAAAGCCCTCTTTTGGGAGTCAGTACTGACACTAATCCATGTTTAAGTGCTTCCCCAAATCAGATTTGGAGAACTAATTGACCCATCATTAATGGTAATTACTGCATTCCCCATGGATCACATACCCCAATGTACAGGGAAATTCCCAGCCCTTGTGAGATGCATCATTCCTACAGCTAGAGAGACAAACCCTAAGCTAAAGGACTTCACTCCACTGATGACAGTGGATGTGCATCTATTCACACCAGCGGAGAAAAAAATACCCCTCAGCCTTAAAGGATGATAGTACTTACAAATAGCAAAGATTTTATCCTCCTCCTACCACAGAAATAAAACAAAATGCAGTGCCATAATCACTACATTGATGCATCAAGGTAAAAGCATGAAGTCTGGAGGACTAGCAGGCAGGTATAAATTAGTGGTTCACATTCAAATATGCACACTATGAAGATTTTGGTAGAATAATCCCATTCTTCTGTGTTTCCAGGCAAAGGTGAAGCTTAACTTTTTAATACTCATTAAGGCAAGCCATGGTGTCTAAATGCTGATGGAAAATAAACACAGATAATCTTCTTGCAGACCATTAATGGAATAAAAAGTTGTCATTAACATGTAAGAAGAAAAAAAAAAAGAAGAATATGCCTCACAATTTGAGCATGACTGACACAAGGGAGGGGAGTAAAATGCCTATATATTATTTGTTCAGTTCATTAAATTGTTTGGTAAAATCTGAAACCTTGTAATCCAAATATGTACTACTAAGCTTTAGCTCATGAATTATCCATGAGTAACTTATCTTCTCCATATCCAAGAAGGAACCTGTAGGGTTGGCTAGTTGTGTTTTCTTTCTGCCACTATGGCCATGTCTTTTCTAACTCTAGTGAACTTGAACTCAAGCTTGCAATGCTGGAGCTTCACACCCAAGAGACCCACTCCATTTTCTGAAATTTCTCCGGATGTTGGGAAGCAGGGGAGCGAGACACACAGCTGAGCTACAATACAGATGTACCAGAAGGAGCTTTCTTTCACCCAAAGACTACTGAGCTGGATGTTGGGAGCTGCTTTATCATAGCTGAGGAACGTTTAGATACCACCTGCAACCTATCAAGGGCCATTATCCACAAAGAACCTGAATATATAAATGGTACTTTAGCCAGTTCAGCCAAATCTTTCCCAAAGCCCATCATTAGAAAGGATAGGTTTTCTGTTTGCCTCGATTACGGTTTGAAAAGTATTAATGCGCCCTAATTGTGCTGAAATCAGTCACTAAATTCTGAGATCAGGAGTCAGCTGAGCTGCTGCTAACTACTGGATGGTAATTCCTGTGGAAAAAGAAATTTTGGATAAAAGAAAAAACAATGCCTTGAGTTATTCTTTTGCAGGGAGGTCTAAACTTGCCTCATATATCCACGTGCCATTGCTAAATGCATGATAATTACTGAATAAACTGTCAGGATGGACTTCTAATAATAAATATAAACTGAAGAAAACAGCCTAGGAGTGTTGCTAATATTAATAGGGATAACCATACAGGGAACTATAGTGATCTGAACTCATTAAATTAGTATTGCTCATTTTCATAAATGCAAAAACTTAGCAGTTTTACATCATTAAATTATGCTTTCCTGAACAGTATTGAGTGCATTCCCTTGGGCCTCAATGGGCTGACTCAACACACTGGAGGTCTAGCTTGGAGATCATGCTGTGCTTCAAAGACTGCCACTGGGATGCTATTCCCTGGGCTGACAGCAAGAAGCAACCCTACAGTACGCGTCTAGGCTGACTCCCCAGAGAGGAGCGCTTCCCCTCCATTCCCAGTGCATTTTGGAGGATACTAAATGCTGTTCTGCCCATCACCAGGCTCACAGGTGGTGTAAATCAGCCCAGCTCTTCCATCAAACGGCTACTGCTGCCAGCTGAGGATCTGCCTCCCAGGCTGCAGCTGATCCACAATTCACAGCAGTAGGCAGGGACTGGACCTAGTTAATCCTGGCTCTGGGCTGATGTTTACTGAAAGAGGAGGCCCAAAATCATTTTAAAGAGTCCTTGCACCTATGGAGATTCTGCCATATGTCCCTACCTCCTTCATCATTAATCCTGATGAGACCTAAACTGAGAACCTCCAGGGAGATGCACGTAAAACTTGAATTTAAAGTGGTGTAAATACATCTAGCTGTGAATTATATTTAAAAAAAAGCCAAACAACAAAGTAAAACCCCTAATGTTACTTTGCTTATACATTAGCTTTCATCTGAGCAGATCAAAACACCGCAAGCTAAATTCTGTCGAGGCTGCTAAGAGCCGCAGCACAGGACTGGCAGCCCAGAGTCAACTATAACCCATAAACAGCAGAGATATGGGGCGAGGGAAAGGATGCCCTTTTTGTTCATGCTGTGGCACTGTCCAAGACTCACTGGCATTGCTTTGGAGGGAGCGTGCAGGTAACAGAGCCTTCAAGGTTTAGACACTAGGGAGGAAGGAGTTGTAGTCCAGGCTCCCATGGCTGGTAGTGCATTTTGCAAAATATAGGACAAGTCCTGGGACCAGGCACCAGATCTCAGCACCACAAACAGGTGCCCTGGAGCCCTCCTTTCCCTCCAGAGAACCTCAACTTCTTGCATGCATTTGCACCAGCACTGCAACAAGCACCCACCCAAGAGCCCACACGTTATGTTCACCGAGCACGACACCGGTTGCTTGAGTACCATGCTGGTGCAGCACTCCTCCCAGGCTCCTGAGCCCCACTGAGCTGCAGGGTGAGCATATGGCTGCATTGCTTCTGGACCTGAATTCAGCACTGAATCTGAATTTAAGCACTGAATTCAGCTTCTGCACTGAATCTGGACCTAACCCAGCAGTTCTCAACCTTTTTTTGTACCAGGACCCATTTGTAAACATCAATGGCTAGTCCCAACACAGTGCCCCTCACTCCCCACCCACTGCCCCCAGGCCCCAGATCTCTCATGTGTGGGGCAGGAGGAGCCCCAAGCAACCCTGCAGGCTGGAGTTTTGCCAGCCTGCAAGGGAGAAGCCACGGTTTCCCATGTTTTAGTCCTTTAAAGGAGAAGCCATTTTGTTGATCCATTCTTAAAGTTTGTTCACGACCCTTTCATATAGCCTTGCGACCCACAGGTTGAGAAACACTGTCCTAACCACTCAGCTACAATACAAGGGTAGGAAGAGCAACACAGCTCCATTGTAAAGGATGAAAGCTGGCTTACCTTGAGGAGAGAGCTCTGAGCTGTGGCTCCAGAGTGGAGAAGCACTGCCTTGCAGCCCTGAGTAAGCTCATTAGCCTGAGGGTGAGGTTCAATCCCAAACACCTGTGCTACTATCACCTCCTGGCTAGCCCTAGCTTGCTGGCTGTGCAGATCTCATTCTGGGGTACCTCGCTCTTCCCAAATCCAGGAACCCTAGATGCTTCACACAGGCTTCTTTATGCAGGAGCTAGGTCTTACAGCGTCTTGACTGAATCAAGCCCTATGTTTCATCATGATGATTAGCGTGAAATAGTGGGGTTTCTCTATGCCAGAGAGGGAATCTGAAACCTGTGGTGATAATGGCTGTAACTGGGACACACAAAATGTGTTGGGGTGTGTACATATGTGCAATTGCACAGGCATTTGCAGCGACTGCCCAAATGGCCAAATAAACAGGAAAATAACCCATTAGTTTAGGCACTGTGCCAGATTCATTCTGCATGTCAAATAGGACAAGTTTGCACCCAGGGTTTTGCAAAGCAGCAGGTGCAAGAGCCTTTTCCAGCACAGCAAATAAGGTGAGAGAGCAGCCTACAAGCTTACAGCTCCCCAGAAACATCTTCAAAAACATAGCCGGAGCAGCCCATTAAATCTATTTCTCACGCTGTGGGTATGAACAGGTGTTTGTTCATCTCATGTAGCCACAGCAGCCTGTCTTTCCTAGCTGCTGAACAGGCTGTGCTAAAGCCTTGTCCGCGCGAGGCTTTTCAAACGTTCGACTTGGCATGTTAGCCAACGTCTTGTCACATCACATGGGTAAATCCTCAGCTGCAGTCCTCCATGGTTTGCTCAAGGTCACAGCAAATCGCTGCTCAAGCCCCCAGTCCATAAGCCCTGTGCTAACCATTAGGCAAGACAGACCAGTAAGGACTGCAGATACCGGAACTGCACACAGTCGCATGTACTTTCAGTGCTGTAGGAATGCAAAATTACGCAGCTTTCATAGCACCCGGTACCCCTTTGCTCTAGAGTAAATGACCAAACAAGGTCCCGGGAAACAGGCCTGAGACCTCTTGCAATCCCCCATCCTTAAAGGACTGGAATATTTTTCCTCTTTAAAGGAATCACCCCTGTTCTGGGCTGAACCAGCTTCTCAACAGGAGTTGAGTTTGTTTTCAAGATGGATTTCCTTCAGTTCTTTATTTTACTTCTCTCTCTGGGAGGATGGTGTGGGAAGCATTTAAGTAAATAACTAAACCATGATGGGGAGGGAACGAGTGACATTTTTGGCTTCTCTTTGCAGTCATCTGTCAAGACTTGGGTTGCAGAGAATTAGAAAGCTTGAAGTAATAGTGGTTCAATGTCCCTGGAAGACAGAACTTCTCACAGTGACTGGCTCACTGTCAGTTTATAACCTGGAGCATGAAGTCTTTTAAATCCTCTGTAATTTTTCAACTGCAAGGGATTTGGGGATTTTATCAGTGGAGAAATAATATTGTTAAGGTTTCTTTCCGCCAAGTGTTCCAGTCTTCATTTCAAATCCACGAACTCCTTGCTTCAGTTAGATTTCTCTAATGTTTTACAATTTTAAAAAGTTCGGGGAATAGAAATTATAAAGTTCTCGAGCACTGCCTGGATTAAGAAGCAGGTGAGAGATAATTACTCGAGTTATAGCTGGGATGTACACAGAGTTACACATAAACATCCCCATCTCTGTGGCATTAATCAAAATACTTATTAAAGGAAATAAGGGCATTGCATAGTCAGAATGTTTAATGCAGAGAACAGCCTCCCTTTGCAGCAACACATGCCCACTGACGTGCAACACTGAATCTTCATACAGGCGTGGACCTATTTAATCCAGTATCCCAGCTCTAGGGCCAGGTATAGACATTACATGTTTCCCAGTATAAGTGATGGGAAACTGGTCCATACCCGTAACAGAACAGAAATCCTGCGCACGCAGACTGGTGTAACAATAGCAGGCTCTCTGCTAACCATCTGCATAAAATGTTATTATCTTTACTACAGAGTTGTTACCAGACATAGACATTATTCAGTCCTTTGTTTAAATCCAGCTATAGGGACTTCCGGTCTCAATGAGCTCCCTAAACACACTGAAAGCCTGGGAGATTTTCTATTAGTGGCATAAGTACACAATACTCCTGGGTATTTCATATGGAAAGAAAGCCACCGATGAGTCACACAAACTAGATTAGCTGCTGCGAAAAGCTACATATTATTTTGTGCCTTATTTAGAGGCTCCAAGCTAACTGCATTGAAAAAAAGGATTACTACACTGTAACTTCTAGTCATGTTTACCACATCACCGTCTGACCATGTGAATAATAACTTGTGTTGCTGCTATAACAGTGCCGTAGTAAAGCTGCAAATACATTTGTCTACAGCTCATCAACTAAAATAACACCCGCATCCGTGTGGCTTGAGAAATGCAGCACTTACAGCATAACCTTCAGACATCCGAACTGTACCCTCCAAACGCAGAAGAATCAAATGCTAAGCACATCAGCTCATCCAGGAAAAAGGTTATTATTAAATGTTTTCAATATATTTAATCTAGAAATGGATTCAAAGTATTAATCAAAGCAATACTCAGCCTGGTCTCCTCGCATTGCTCACTGCAGCAATTTTATTCTGTATACACGCGCAGAGAGAACACAAAAGGTCTTGGCATTTGAGAAGCTGATAAAATTTAATTTGTCTGTTTGTCTGATAAACACTCCAGACATATCAAAATGTAGGAAAAATATGAAATCCTGCAAACAACGTGCTCAAAATGGGGTGACTCAGGCCTTGTGGGCAGGACCAAGCCCTCTTGAAGCGAGTTGAAGGATGTCATTGGCCAACACTAGGCTTTGATCATCCCCTCTGTGTTTCAGTAGGAGCGTGAAAAACGAGACCTAGCTATCTTTTAAAGAGCGCTTCGGAGTAAACAGTAGTGGGTGTCGTGGTATCTTGGTGTTAAATGCTCTAATAAATTTGGGCAGTGATTTGATTTGATTTGACTTTGACGGTATCCGAGGGACATGAAACTAAACTCAGCAGGAAATGTGTCAATGACTCGTGCGAATCAAAAGAGAGTGGCTGTTTCCATCATTTCGATACAGTTTGCTATAAACCGTTCTTTTGGGAAAGCACAGCATTAGGGGAAAATGCGGTCGACATTAATGTTATTGGCTCTCTTCTTAAAGATGTGGAAAGGATACCCGAGGAAAAAGATTTGCCTGCCCACAAATACGTAAAACGGAGCCGTGTACGGAGAAGTATTCCAAGGAAAATCGATGCAGAGATCCCTTTGTGGAAGCAGGGTGGAAGCAGAATAACTTGGTGAAGGAAATAAATGAGACATTAACAGAATGTTATCTGCAAGGTATTCAGTTCTTCATCTGTTCGTACAAAATAAACAGCTCTGATGTTTCTTTTCATTGAGGCTTCAGGCTCCCACCCATTTTCTTTTGTTTGCTCTGTGTGCCGGTATAATATGAAGCCTAATGAAATATATTAGCAAGAAAGAAAACAAACAAAACCATTCGGGACATATAATAATGGCACTGAGCAGCCAGGTTATAGACAGTCAAGTAGCAAAGGATGCCAAAAGTTTTCCTGTTCTATATTACAAACCAACACACATACACACTGTGTATTAGCAAGAAATTTGGGTCAAGAAAGTCTTCTTGTTCACATTATAAAGAGGCGTAAGGGAAATGGACAGATATTGCATTTGGAGATGATTCATAATCACACACAGAAGGGACTCTCTATGGATAGCTCCCATTCTGCTTGAAACCCAAGAGCTGGGGGAGTTTTCTCCATTGGGTGGGATTCACGTGAAGGAGACCGTGGTGATGAGGTTGATAATCGGACTGTGGCTCCTAAGAGATTCCACAGAAAAAGATAATACAAATAATTTTTTCTTCCTCGGCCTGTGGCGTCGCTCCCACAATGCATTGCACAAAGTAGCTGACTGCAGGCTTCCACCATACTGATTGCATAAGAGTGAATTTACCTCGCATATAATGAATTTTTCGTATAAAAATGGTCATCGCATAAAAGCAAATTCGCGCATACAGAACCTGCACAAAGCAAGGGAAACCTGTATAGCTGGAAATTTTGAGGAGCCTCACCACAGCAGGAGAACCCCCTTTGAAAGGCAGTCCAGGGTAGACATTCATAGCATGGTTCATGGGACTGCACTATCAAAGAGCAGATGAAAAGAAACTCAAGACCCAAAACAACAGGAACGGCTTGTGGATGGATCTGGCATCATGATGGTCTTCTGCATTTTGGAACGAAGTCATGGCCAGTTCAGATGAGGGAATGAGGGATGCAGTGACCATTTGGAGATGCAGGTAGAAATTAATAAATCAAGGAATAATTAATACATTAAGGAAGGAATATATCAGTTTACTCCTCCATAGGGTGCCTAGCTGGCAAATCCAAATACATTGCCATCCTGTTGTTTTCAGTGGGGCCCTGCATGGAAGTGGATCAAAATATAGGCATAAGGGTTTGCAGTGTCAGATACAGACTATATTTGAAGATGGCTGAAGCAGGAAAGACCTGAAACTTCATGTGGATCTTAACTCTGCACTATATTTGCAGGTCAGGTATTCCATTAGCACTTCAGCAGGTAGGTGGGGGTTACTGCCAGACACGGACTCTCTGAAATTAAACAAGACAGAGTGTTTTCTTGAATTACCCAGTACCGGTTTCACAGTGACCATAAGCAGATAAGCTTTCATACTCTTAGATGCTTATGCTTACTGAATTTGAGACTTTTGCCACTTGCCCATTGCTACCTGACATCAATATACAACCCAGGCAACCTCATATCCATAACATATTAACTTTGTTCTAAGCAAATGGACACTGGAAAATGAGGTAAATTCCAACCTATGCTAAAATAACTTCTTTATCTAGCAGGTTTTTGCTGGATCTCTGAAACACAGTCTCTTCCAAATTTAATCAGTTCGGACTGGAAATTCTGAGGAGCCTCACCACAGCAGGAGAATCCCCTTTGAAAGGCGGTCCAGGGTAGACATTCATAGCATGGTTCATGGGACTGC